AGTTTGTATAATTAATGCATTAGCTCGGTTTTCCTTTTCCCCTTCCAAAAAACAAAGAATGTTTGCTTTTGTTGTGATAGAACGAATTATTTTGTCTATAATACTACGTATATTTATTGGTTTATCGTCTACATTTCTTGAAACTCGAGACCATATATTCTTAGACTAGAGCGTAGCTTTCATTGCATAATCTAATAAGACCACATTTAAGCATATAATTAACCAGTTATCTAAAATTTTGAGGGGTATTAGTCAAAACCTGAGATCAAATCCCGTCTATATTATCACCTAAATTTTCCGAATAAACTGTATTTAAAGTCTTAACAAAGGCCCAACCGATAAATTGAGAGATAAGACAGTGGCCCATTACATTATAACCCAAACTTCTCCTACTATCGTCTTCCACTCTTCCCCGAGTCAAACTAAAACCCTAGTTAAACACCTCTCCTTCCGACCTCCGTTTTCCGACTGCCATACCTTAAACCCTCCCAGAAATCTAGAGAGAGAGAATGGCAGGGAAGAAGAGAGAGAAAGAAGCTTCCAACAATGGCGGCGAAACCAACGGAGAAGATGCTAAACCTTCAACTTCAACCTTCAAGAAGGAACAACTTCTACCTTCCATGATTAAGAACAAAGCCAAAAGGTCTGAAATTCATGCTAAAATTAAGCACGAGAAGAAGCTTGATAAGCGTAAGAAGACCAAAGCTCGTGATGCTGCTGATAAACGCGCTCTTGAACTCGGCGAAGAGGTTTTTTTTTCTCTCTCTTCATTCCAACCGTTTGATTTCGATTTCAAATTCGATTAAACGGCTGAGATTGATTTTGATTTTGTGTTTTGTAGCTTCCTCCAAGGCCTATTCCTCGTACGATTGAGAATACTAGGGAAGCTGATGAGACTGTTTGCAAGCCTGATGATGAAGAGGTTTTTTTTTTTAATTTATTTTTAATTTAATGTCTTAATTTCGTTTATATTGCTTGAAATGTGGTTAAATTCTTGAGAAATTGGCTTTAATTGTTTATGTAATGTCTCAATTTTGGTTATGTAGATAGAAATGTGGTTGAATTGTTGAATTAATGGGTGCATTTTTTTGTTGCAGTTGTTTGCGGAATTGGATACTGATGAGTTTAGTGCGGTTTTGAAAGGGCAGCGTGCTCAGAAAGTTATGATTACTACATGCCGTTTCAACTCCACTGTATGATCTTCTCCTTTCACTTGCCGTAGTTATTACATTTGCTAATGTTATCACTTTTGCGTATTTCTTTCGCTCTAGACAGTGTTAGCTTATCAATGACATGTATAGGGAAATGTGGAATGATATATATTATGATTACATGAAAGCAATGAACTAGTGTAAAGAGCGCTTGTAAAAACGGAGTAAGGCTATTTGTGTTTCTGGGTGTTGTTACCTTATAATTGGTCTTAACATGATCCTTGTTGTTGCTAAGTAATTTTTAATGTGTATACTTCGAAAGGAAATTATGTTTGTGCACTGGATTCGCTGCTGTTTGTACTTTCAGTTCAGGTACAAAAATGATTTATATTCCCCTTTAAACCTTTGGTTTGAAGGCAACTAATTCTATGTAGGTCTAGGCCAATTCTAAAGAACTGATTACTTACGTTGTGATTTCTTTCTATTCCTTTATAATGCTCGAAGCTCCAAAGGTTTGGAAATGAGTTTTAAAAACTATAATTGGAGTTCAGAAGAATTTGTCACCTTATTTGAAAAGTACTAATGGTTTATAAACTTATAAACGTGCCCCTGCACCAGTCAAGTGATGGGAAGAGTGTGGGAATGGTCTAGCCATCACAAAGGGCTGTTTAATAAGCTAATGTTTATGCCTTGTCCTTTATAACTAGAGGTTAGGATAATGAGCAACTATGTTTTGACATAGGAAATAGTCTTTTTTCCCCCTTTCATGTTGAGATACAATTGATGATTGATAATGATGTACGTGTAGCTCTATACATTTGTTGACTGTGATGATTGTATTCCCTCATTTCAATTGGCATAGCAGCTGCCTTGAGAAGTACTTCATGTACTTTGTATACTTGATGGTGAGGGTTAAGGAGTATAGAATAAGCATTGAAATTTTTGTTCTTGGTACCGGTGTGTTGAAATACTTGGAGGCAATTGCTTGTTTGGCTCCTGCCTTGCTACACGTTGGGATGTTTGAGGTGTAAAGTAGCTAGTGCTGAGCACTGCTAATGATAACGGCTTCGTTTTGATGTCGATGTGATACAATCATGTATCCATGCTTGTCAACTGCATATTTTGATGCGAAGTAGTTCCTAATATATTCTGCAATATGAATGCATATAGCCTGATTTTCATCTTATGCTGTTTGCAGAGGGGACCTGAGTTTATCAAAGAATTAGTTCAAGTTATCCCAAATTCCTCTTACCATAAGAGAGGAACCTACGACTTGAAGAAGGTTGGAGTTTGTCTCCTTTACCATATAATATATATAACAAATTATCTTTCTCATTGCCGAATATCTTATTTCCCTGTCTTTTCGTTAAACAACTTTTGTAGATTGTGACTTATGCAACTAAAAAGGATTTCACTACTTTGATTGTTGTCCATACAAATAGAAGAGAACCAGGTCAGTGTCGTTTTTCTCCAATCAGCAGAAGTAAATTTTAATATAGAAGATTTAATCTGGCCCTTTCCCAAATCTTGTTGTCTTTTGCTTATGTGGCTGTATGTAATGCTTTGACTGGAAAGTCATGTAGCTCAACTTATGCTATCAATTTGTTTTTCTTTTTAACATCTTATAATGTTTTTCTCTGATTTGGTGACATAGATGCTCTCTTAATCATTGGCTTACCTGATGGACCAACTGCACATTTCAAGCTTTCAAAACTTAAATTACGAAAAGAGATTAAGGTTAGTCACCAGTTGCAAATTTTGTTTTTCTTGAAATGTAATACACTAATACACACTCCCTCTGTCCCTTATTTTATTTTTGGCCCCATATGACTCATAAAGCTCTCAAAAGCAAGTAGATCATAGAGCAAACAAAAAGGGACTGAGGGAGTATTAGCTGTATTTGCAAATGTTAACTGAATTTGTAACTCATTTGGATGCCCTTGGCTGCACGTCAAGATACAAGTCATACAACACAGTCAACACACATACACCTAATTTGATATTGACTTGTGTAGTACTGAACTACTGACTTGCTCACCTGAGCTAAAAGGAAAGTTTATACTTTGTATTATGTTGTTTCACTGTTCGTAGCTTTATGTGTAATTCTGGTCTGTAACTTGTTCCTTGTAAGAGTGTCCAATCATCTTGTCGGCCATCCTGTGAATATCTTTGTGTCTGAAATTTCTAATATTGATGGGTATAGAATTATAATTCACTTTAAGAGCCTTTAAAGAGTTTCAACTTGCCTACATTTTATTCTGCGATAAAACATTTTCTTATAGCAATGGATTGATAGCTTGAATAGACCTGTAATGTGACTGTATTTCCCATCAAGTCTTATTGGTTAAGTAGTTGTGTATTGTTTAGTGCTCTCTTTTTTATGCTCATGAAACTATTTGTTTTTTTGTTTTTTTTGCAGAATCATGGTAATCCAACCAGTCATTGGCCTGAACTAATGCTAAATAACTTCACAACAAGGCTAGGGTGTCGTGTTGGAAGGTCTCCTTTATTTCCTATATAGTAGTAACGTGCTAATCTGTGCTTCTAGTGACCCTTTCATTTAGGTATTATGACTGGTTTCTGACAGTTTTTCTTTCTTTTATAATTCAGAATGTTACAATCTCTCTTCCCCCAAAAACCAGAATTTCGCGGTCGTCGGGTTGTTACCTTTCACTGTCAGCGGGATTATATATTCTTTCGCCACCATAGGTACACATTGCTTGTTGCCTCTTCTACCTAGATGGTATTTTTTTACTTCATGAAGATTCTACTTTATCAATTTCTTGTTCTTGGTATTATGCTAGGTATGTATTTGAATCCAAAGATTCAAAGAAAGTAGACTCCAAAAAGGATCCTACTGCCGAGAAGAAGGCTTCAGATTATGTCAAGCCCCGTCTGCAGGTTTGTAATTTTTTGGTTACATTATACTTTTCCTCCTCTCTTTTTGACCCCATCTCCCCCAAATTCTACTATTTTGAAATTTCATGCTGTAGCTTGCCAAATTTTATGAACTGTATTGCTTTCCTTTGATGTTTTTTGCTCCAACTTTTTAACCACTTTTTTAAACTTTCTTGAACTTTATTCTTGGTTACCTTTTAAAATTCCCTTAGTTTTTCTTGAATGCTCTTTCGTTTGCTCACTGTACTCACCTTTCTCAAACTCTTTCAAATGATTATTTTGTTACGTCCTTTTCTTTATATCGTACGATTCCTTGTGACGGTTCATGTTAGCCGACCCTAAATCATTTTGGGACTAAGGCTTTATTGTTGTTGTTGTTGAACATAATTTAGTTGTGTTGTTGTTGGACATAATTTAGTTGTGTTGTTGTTGTTGAACATAATTCAGTTGTGTTATCTGGTGATCTAGATGAGGTTAATTTACCAAATGTTATTATCTTTGAACTGTTGGTTTATATTCTATGCAGGAATGCGGTCCTCGGTTTGTATTGAAGTTGAGAAGCCTGCAGCACGGCACATTTGATACTCAAGGCGGGGAATTTGAATGGACTCATAAGGTAATTTTGTTACTGCTTCTACTGTTTGAGCAGGAATAAAATGCTGTTAATATGTTCATTCTTTTTTGTGGTTAATTTGTGTATTAATTTTTTTTTTTTTTTTTTGGCTATTTATCTTAAACAGCCGGAGATGGACACCAGTCGGAGGAGATTTTTCTTGTGATTTGCCCATTGATTTGTGTGTCCAAAATTTGGCCATAGGGTAATTGTAAAGCCTCAAATTTTGCTTAAGTATTTCAGTTTTCTATTTGTTACCTTCATGAATGATATCCTGTCAATGAAAAATATGCTAATGATGAAATGACAATGAATTTTGTTTGTTTAAACATGTCTTTTTTTCATTCTTGTTGCAAAATTATCTACTACCATCCTGGATTTTGCGAGTTGCCATTGTATTGAGCAACAATAGAAGTAGTAATCTTTTTAAGAAATTGGAGACACATCAAAACTAAAACACCACTGAAACTAGCTGCTTTTGTCCAAGATCTCATTGGTGGAGGAATGATTAGTAGGTAGAAACATTCTACAGTCATTAAGATCCAACTTAAACTTTCCATAGTAAACTTCATCAACATAGTTTTCCCTTTGCTTTCTTCGGTTGTCAACCTGCCGAATATTCTGAATATCAGAGTAGCCACTACCAAAGCGGTAGTTACTGACCATCCCCTGTAGACCAGCATACCTCCCACAATTAGAGGCTGCTGCCTACAGACACAGGACAAGCACTCACCTGAGAATTTAGACAACATTAGGGCATCAAGACCTGTGTAGTAAGGCAAGATAATTGAGTCCAAGTACAGTGCTGTATGTAGGATTCCTGATATAGTTGATGCCTCAAGGAACACATACTTGAAGTGGCTGTCAGTTTCAGTGTTGAAGGCGAGAGCAGAAATCCGAACCAGGTGGAGGATTGCAGGACCATTATACGACATAGGGAACACAGTGTTTACCCTGTGTCCTTTTGCCATGATGACGAGAATGATGGGTAGGAAAATAGGACCTGATGGAAGAAAGTATCTCCTTAACTGATTGAGTCGAGTAAGGGGAGTTGCCTTTCTCCCTCCTATCATCCCCACCACCATCAAAACTGTGGTTGCTAAGAACGTAATGGTGATGAAGACAATTGCCAAATTATCAACCCAAGATGGGTAATCTCCTGAATAGTTGCTGTTGCAGTAGTAGTGGTACGGACAGTTGAGCGGATCTAGTGTTTCTTCCAGCTGCCATTTTGTGCACTTGAAGAAGGCCCTCTGGATATCTCCCTCCGGTATCGTAGATAGATATGCCGAATTTCTTGAGGGCAGGAGTGGATTAAACATATTTTGTTAGACCTTTGCATATTAGAGTATTGATTTATATGATTTTGCTGTGGATATAAGTTTTAACTCTAAGGGAGAGGGTGGGCCTCCCCTCGAATGGTTGAGCAGTTGTTTTTGCTGAATGAGAATTGGATGAGGATTGACCAACAGCAAAAACTTGTTGAAAAGGAACCTGTCAATTGTGAGGAAGATTATTCAAAGCTATTTTACAGACTTGAGATTGTGAAACCTTTATGATGATAGTATTATTTTACATGTATATGCTGTGAGTTGTAAGGTGAGACTCTTTCTCGAGATTGGTTATCGTATAATCGGACTTACAAATGGATGCAGTATATGGATGAATCGTAATTTACCATTATATATAATATTATCTGTATTATGTCTGTTATTTTCTATCGTATCATATCAGTTGTTTTCGATTAGTTCGTTGTCAAAATTTGGGGAAGACTATACAATAATTTAATAACTCTCGGGTTTGCTGAGGTTGGGTGTTTGGCTGAGTCCTTAAGAGTGCTTGCCTTTCTATGGAAGCGATGATGTTTGTTGATGATTGCAACTGATTGTTAGCTTTTGAAGTAGTTAGAAGGTGTTAATAGTATTATTGCTGCTGAATTAAGGTGGATGATTAATGAATAAATTATTATTTTGATACTACGTATAATGTATGATGGAAGATTAATGAATAAAGTATGGGACATTATTTTATTTATTTTCATAAAGCTGTTATTTTAATATGCAAGTAGTTGATGTCAAAAAAAAAAAAAAATGCAAGTAGTTTGATGAACTTGTAATCTATACTAGAAAAATTTTGTGTTTATTGTAATCACCGGCTTGGTCAAATTGAAGGTTGCTTCAAGTAGTACTACTTCCGTATCAATTTTATTTTATTTTTAATATTTCTTTGACGTTGTTATAATTAGTGAGAGTATTTTCTTCTATTATTAGATTAGTTAATTACTAATTCTTGGAATAGTGTGTCAAAAAAAAAAAAAAAAAAATCTTGGAATTTTTTTTTCTGTAAAAATTATTTACAAGTATTTTGGAAGAAAATGTAATATGGGACTGCTGCCCATCACAGACCTAATCTAGCAGATTGGGAAGAATTGGCTTATGTGGAGTCGTGGAGAGAGGAAAACGGATAAAGGGTAATGAAAAGGGGTGATTGCTTGAAAGAATCTATCAAAAGGGTGATTACTTTGTTGAGGGAGCTTAGCCGCATAGGAGTGTTTCGGCTAAAATTAAATCTCATCTGTAATATTTTCTTTCAAACTAATTATAATAGTATGGAGTATAACAAAAACAATATGTAGAGAATTTAAAAAAAAAATAATAATAATACGTTTATTTTTAATGTATTTTGAAAAAGGAATCTCAATATTGCATGTCCATTACCATACAATTTATTTCTATATTGGCAAAAACGTGGTTCATGTCCCTATGAGTGAAATGAAGCGTGTAAAATAGAGTATATAGGTCAGTGGTGTCTGAAAGTTTTTAGATACTTCATTCCCTATCATTTAAAAACCCTTGTATTTTCTTATATAGGTCCAAGTGCATTTAGATCATATTCATAGCAAATTCATAAATTAGGTGTCATATTCTTGTTTCTCAAGCATTTCTTTTGTGCTACCTTTGTCAACTTGTATATACTTCCTCCGTTTTTTATTTATCGCATCATAGGAGGTTTGACGGCAAAATTTGGGAGTGGTAAAATTACAAAAGTGTCCTTGTATTATAAAAAAAAAAAGACCCACCACCTTATAGAATTGCTGTCAGCTTAGATGAAGTGTATCCGTGTATTATCCAAAAGGGGACTCAATTTCTGACTTATTTCCACTCATAAACAGTGAACAGTGGAATTACTTTACATTTCCCAAACAAATTTCAGTTCAAGTTTCCCCACCAAAATTTTCATGATTGAAAATTTTCAAAAATTCCAAACACCAAATTTGCATCATCACACCCTTTCAAGAGGAGAGAGAAAGAGCAACAATGAAACCCTGCTCGATTTCATCATCACTCGCAAAGAGGGCTTCGTTCAGGGGAGATAGATCCATTATAGGAGGAGGAAGAGAGGAAACAGAACAAGGCAGAGAGGAGTAGGACACACACCCTTTCAAGAGGAGAGAGAAAGAGGAATAGAGTTGGATGAAGGAGGAAACAACGGCTGTTCAAGCGGGAAGGGAGGAGAGAGAATGAGGAAAGTGAGAAAGCTCAAGAACAAACTAGAACTAGGGTTTCATACTTAGATTTGTGCAAACAAAACAAAAAGTGGGCTGATTTATTGGGTAGGCTTTGTCCAAAGGTTGTATGTATTTAAGGTAATTTATCAGAAAAAAAAAAAATTGGGTGGTGTATAAAGGGGTTTAATTTGGTAGGAGGAAGAATAATAGGTGGGGTTATGATGTTATTGTAAAAGGGGTAAAAAAGTAATTTTGTAGGTAAAAATTTGCTAAATAAGGAAATGATGCAATAAAAAGTAAACTTCCTAAACTAGTAAGTGATGCGATAAAAAAAGAACGGAGGAAGTATATTGAAAATGATCTTGTAAGATGACATGAGCTAATATGGTCATTTATGACAACTTTGTATTTATTACTCTCTTCAACTATTTACGACTATTCTCAACTTCCCTTCCATAACCAAGGCTTTTTATTTTCACTTCATTTCTACTACGTAATATGTACTAATGTGCAGATACTTCATTCTCTATCATTTAAAAGGCCTGGTATTTTCTAGTATTGGTCCAAATGCATTTGGATTTTGGACCATATTCATAGCAAAGTCAACATTTCTTTTGTGCTACCTTTGTCAAGTTATTTATATATCGGAAATGCTTAGAGATTCCATAAGGACGGAAGAAATAAAATAAAATTATAGCATCACTTCTCATCCTTGAGTTTAAAATTTAACCTACCTAATAAACAAATAACAAAATTATTATAAAACAATAAGAACGAATAAATTTGTATAGATTATAGAGCATGCACACATAATGTATATTTAGAGTGTATCAATTACCGTGTTGGATCTTTCCATAACCATTGAAAAGCTATCTAATTTTTGTTACTCAAATTGCGTAGATGTTTTATAATTTTATAAATCTTAAAAATATCAAAAATATTGGCACAATCTTTTTTTTTTTTTTTTTTTTTTTAAAAAACACAAATATCGGCACAATCTTAAATTACAAGGTAATATTCTTCGCTCAAACAATGACAAAGCTTAAGTTACAAGGTTTACCTATCCTCTAAATTCCAAATGACTCCTAATTTTGACAACAAATACATTAATTCGAATTTATTCCCAAAAAGTTACACATCATTTCTTCCCTCACCAAATAAATGTAGCCCCACTCTATTATATGGACCTCATGTAGATGATCTTATTCGTAAAGGATAGAAATATTCACCCTTTTTTTTTCTTTTTCTTTATTTTTTGTTTTTTTTTTTTGTTTTTTTTTTTTTTTTTGAAAAACCAAAAGTCCAATTATATACCCTGAATAATACCAAAACTAGGCCAATGATGGGAGCCCCAAAGAATCTGGGGGACCCTTAATGTTTGAAGGGCATATTGACCCGCCCGAGTTGTCACATTTCTGCTTTCTCTCAATCTTCTCTTTTTCTTGGACTTTTTGGGTGGGTCTTGTTGATATTATTTGGTGGTAAAATTATTAAAGTAAAAAAACTTTGAATGCCAAATTCTAATATTTTTACATTGTTGATGCCTTGATGGACTCCATGTAAAAAAAGTTGTTGCAAACTTGCAATTTTTACATTGTTGATGCCTTGATGGACTCCATGTAAAAAAAGTTGTTGCAAACTTGCAATGTAATTCGTGTATTCCACTATTCAATAGATAGATTCATGATTTGGTTAAAATGAAATAAAAGTACTCTATAGCTAATTTGAAACCAAATGTATGTTTAAGAAGTAATTAAATGAACGGTGAGAAATTTTGAATTACTATTTCTCGTATATAATTACATTGTGAGAAATGAGTTGATACAATACATGAAATAGATTGAATAATATTACGTATTTTCTTTTAAATATGTACATCATTTGTGTTTATGTTACCGTGTACAAATATAACAAGGAAACTCAATAAGATAACATATATTGATGCAAATAAAACTAATTATATAGTAAGCCAAATTGAAGTAAAATAATACTCCGTACTTCATATTTTTTTGTTGACAAAAAATTGAATGCAGTTAAAGTGAGAATTTTTTTTATAAAACAACTTTAAACAACAGTGGAAAAAAATGAAGCCAAGAAAGGATTTTTTTTTTTTCGCGTGTGTGTGTTTTTGTTTTGAGGAAAGCAAAGAAAGTATTTAAAACATATGTGATTAACATTACCATCCGTTTTAAGTATTTTTTTTTATTTTTTAAAGGAAATCCATGTATAAGTACTTAATAACACGGAGTATATTATTTAGAAACATAAATAGAATACGAGCACTTGAAAAATCTAAACACAAATAATGATCGAATCTGGGTTTTATCACAGTTTTCTACTAGTTAATCCTAAAGTCATAAAAACATACTCCCTCCGTCCCTTAATACAATGCCTCTTTCTCTTTATTATGTGGGGAATAAATGTTCAAAAGAGGCATTGTATTAAGGGACGGAGGGAGTAATACTTTATGTGTTACTTAGGAGATTAAAAATATTACTAGCACTTAATAAAATATTTAAACACTAAAATAGAGTCAAAGTAATTAAATTTTGGGTAATGTTATATGTAGCCCTAAGGGCTATGTATAAACATTAAATATACTCTTAAAAATTGTATAAAATTAGGAATTCATGACAAAAACACGCGTAAATCAGTGTTATTTGTGTTTATATTTTAATGATTTCTTAACTTTTTACGATTTTTAAGTATGTAGCTTTAAAAGCTATGTATAACATTTTCCTTAAATTTTATTTCGTCATGTGTTCTCAAACTAGTTAACCATTGTCCTATGTTTTTTTTCATAAAAAAAGAAAACGTACAATATTTAATTTATCCTTAAAATTTGAAGAACCATAAGAGCGAGTGCTGAAAATCGATATGGAGTACAAGATTCCCTAAAACCGGGATAAAAGCTCTAACAAGTTATGAGTAGTGAACTCGTGAGAAGTAAAGATTCGATACAAAACCGCCTTTCTTCTCCAGAGGTCCATCTCTTTACTTCTCTCTCCTTCAGAAAAACAGGAGGAGAAACAGAGAAACCCCAATTAACCCAAAACCCTCTAAATTAAAAATCAAAAGTTTCCATCAAAACAAATCAAACCCAGATTGTTTTTACAGTAATCTCTTTTTATAGATGATTATTATTGCAATTCAATTCAATTTCCTAATTTCCCTTTTGAGAATTTAAAGCAGATTCGCGTTGATAGACTGTGGAATCTTTGAATCACACAATTTGCCTTTTCATCTAATCTTTCTCTCTCTCTTAAATTCTTTTTTTTTTTTTTTCTTTATTGAGCTTCTGCATTTTGCGTGCTTCGTACGGTCTATCAGCGCTTTCTCTGCTCTCCATTCTCCTTTAGAAATCCAAAAATCTAACACCCCTTTAAGTTTTTTAGCTTAATTTATTGTGCCATTGATTTTAACTGCTGTTATTGTTGTTGAATTTATTGTTTTATTGTTAAATTAAATGTGTGATTGAGTAATTTATGGAGGAAGGAAATAAGGGTTCGGATGATTCGAGGCCGAATTACTGGCTTCATGCTTGTGAGGAGGAAGATGATATCATCCCCTGTGAATTTATCGGGGATTTCGGCGATTTCGGGACCGGGAATCAGAGCGAAATTGCCAGCATTGATCCCAACTTCTTTGGTGGGATTGATCATATTCTTGATAGTATCAAGAATGGTGAAGGATTGCCTTGCAATGATGGTATGGATATTACTCCTCTTTCTAAAGATTTGCAAGTTGAGAATTTTGTTGTGAATTGTAATGTTGAGGTTCAAAGTCCATTAATTAGTGACAGCAAAATGGTAGATGCTGATAATGTTAATAATAATTATTCTAATAATATCAATAATAATGGGAGTGTGTGTGTGAAATTGAATGGTGGTGATGGAACTAATAAGGGTGTTCTTGATCATGTTAGAACAAGTAATGGGGACTCAAAAGTGTTAAGTGATAGAGAGAGTTGTAAGGTTGATAGGGATCGAGATTGTGAGGAGAGGAGCGGAAAGAGGACTCGTGTAAGTAATGGGTTTAGAGAGGAGAGGGGGTATTCGAGTCGTGGGCAGAGTTGTGTGAGAGATTGGGAGAGTAATGGAAGGAAGAGGAATCGAGAATTTGAGGAGACTGGACGGAGGGATAGGGATAGGGATAGGGGTAGGGATAGGGATAGGGATAGGGAAAGAGAGAGGGACAGGGATTTGGGTGGTAGGAGAAAGGATTACTATAATGGGAGGAGAGATAGCCGAGATAGGGAATGGAGAGATAGAGAGGCAAAGGGTTATTGGGAGAGGGAAAAGCCGGGGTCAAATGAAATTGTGTATCGCGTTGGTTCATATGAATCTGCCCGAAATAGAGACACAAATAAGGTGGGGTCTGAAAAGAACAAGGAATGCAGTGCAAAGATTGAGAAGAATGAGGAAAGTTTTAAGGAGAAAAGTTTGGAGGAGCGGGCACGCCATTATCAGTTGGAAGTACTTGAGCAGGCAAAGCAGAAAAATACTATTGCTTTCCTGGAGACTGGAGCCGGTAAAACTTTGATTGCTGTTTTACTTATTAAAAGCATCTGCAATAGATTGCAGCAGCAGAACAAGAAAGTGCTGGCTGTTTTCTTGGTGCCTAAGGTTCCACTAGTGTATCAGGTAAAATGTATTCCGTGGATATTTGGTTGAATATTATTGTTATGAGTTTGGAGATTAATTATGCTCCTATGAATGTATAGCAAGCAGAAGTTATACGCGAGCAAACTGGATACAGTGTTGGTCATTACTGTGGTGAGATGGGTCAAGATTTCTGGGATACTCGAAGATGGCAACGCGAGTTTGAATCTAAGCAGGTATTTTTCATAATCTTCTGGTACTTTTTAGTGGAGCTTAAATTTAAAGCTTCCCTTTTTAAATCATAAAAGTTGGCAAGTGCAGAAGCAGGTTGCTGTCTCATACATGATATTTTGCTCTTAAAAATTAAATATTGTATGGTGTACTCCGTAGTAGAGTTTCAAAATATTGTTCATATAATGACTTGGAATTTCATATCAGCAACTTTGAATGTTTTAATGGTAGTTTCGGCATCTCTTTTGTCTATTATGTGCATCTTCTTGGCAAACTGTAATAATGTGGATTGAGGTATTTTGGCTTTTGGCAAGCTATTAATTGTGAATTGTGAATGTTAAAACTTGTAGTTGATACATATTTGATGTATTTTTTTTTTCAATTCTTGGTTAATGGTAACCATTTCCTCTTTGTATCTGACAAATTTGAATGATTACTTAATCATGGAGTAATTGTGGACTACAATAAGATTCCTTTTAATAAACAGTAGATGTTATATTTCTTGTTTTATTAAACAAGTCTTCTTAAATTGTATGATGGAGAGTAATGATAAGAATTTTGATGATTTTCCTGAACTTCTTTTTGATAAGGTAAGAAAAATAAAATATTAGGAACTTAGAAAGCCCTCCTAATGAGAACTTGATATGGACATGATCTAGTTATTCGGTTTATTCCTGTATACTAAAGCAATTAAGTCTTCAATTTATGACTGTATACAGGCTATCAGCCATAATTAGATCACTAGAAATTTTCGTTCGATTTCTATGTTTGAGTATTCAGCTTATATTTTGGTGCTCATCTGTACTTGTAATCTATACGCCTCCAGATTAAAACTAATTCTGGAAAGCAGTATCATAACTACTACAAGATATATGCCTCTTATGAATCCTTCTGCTTGTGTACTTTTTGTATATTCTTTTAGTAGTATTCAAAGGTTGTTTACCATGATTAAAATCTAAGGAATTTTCTTTCTTCAGGTTTTGGTCATGACTGCTCAGATTTTGTTAAATATTTTAAGGCATAGCATAATCAAAATGGAATGTATACATCTCCTTATTCTCGATGAGTGCCACCATGCCGTCAAGAAGCATCCATATTCTCTAGTGATGTCTGAATTTTATCATACAACTCCAAAGGAAAAAAGGCCTGCTGTTTTTGGGATGACTGCTTCCCCTGTTAACTTGAAGGGTATATAATTTTTTTTTGTTTAATTATAAAATGATTTTTGTAGCCTTTTCCCGTAATTGGGGTATGATATACTCTTGTAGAATGTGCTGTCTAAATTCTATCTTCCATGCCACAGTTTTAGCCGCTTTATGCCTTTACAACCCTTAATTTACTTTGCCATTGTTGATGGGGCTTATTTAATTTGTTCTCTATGAGCTTTACATTTTTCTGGTGATGTAGGTGTTTCCAGTCAAGTTGATTGTGCTGTCAAGATACGAAACCTAGAGACTAAGTTGGATTCCGTAGTTTGTACAATAAAAGACCGTAGAGAACTGGAGAAACATGTTCCTATGCCATCAGAAATTGTTGTGGAATATGACAAAGCAGCTTCATTGTTGTATCTGCATGAACAAATCAAACAAATGGAAGTAGCAGTTGAAGAAGCTGCACGAGCAAGTTCAAGAAAGAGCAAATGGCAGTTTATGGGAGCTAGAGATGCAGGAGCCAAGGAAGAGTTACGCCAGGTCTACGGTGTCTCTGAAAGAACTGAGAGTGATGGTGCTGCTAACTTGATTCAAAAATTAAGGGCTATCAACTATGCACTTGGTGAACTGGGACAGTGGTGTGCTTACAAGGTTTGATATACAGCTTTGCAAATATCTGTTGGTGTTTTTTTTTTTTTTTTTTTTAATTTTATTCTTGGTTCTCTATGTAATCACCTTTGGATTGTTTATGCTACCTGCAGGTTGCTCACAATTTTTTAGTAGCCTTACAAAGTAATGAGAGGGCAAACTACCAGCTTGATGTGAAGTTTCAAGAATCTTATTTGAGCAAGGTCGTTGCACTTTTACAGTGCCAGCTAGCAGAAGGTGCCGCTTCCAACAAGGATGCCAGCAGTACCGAAGATAATAATGATAGTGGCTGCCATCAAGATAATGGCAGTGTTGATGAGGTTGAGGAGGGAGAACTTCCTGATTGTCACGGTGAGTGTTTTACATACATTCCAATTATCTGCAAGGTTGATCAACATTTTACCTGTTATGTATCTTTTTCCGTTTTTCTATGAACTTCCTAGATAGATTTCTAACTTGAGAGCATTTTTGGATTTTCTGGCACTGCTACAATTTTCTAGGAGCTTTCTACTCATTAGAATTTGCTAACATGACTCTGAAATACATGAGTATATTCATCTGATAAATGTTTTATATAAGGGTGACTCACAAAATTAAATGACTTTATTTCCTAATTTTTTTTACTGTTGATTGTTATTCCAGTTTTATTAATTTATTGATGTATTATATCATTGATACTCAGATAAGCAGTGTCAAGATAGTAATTAAAGTGCTGTGATTGTGAAAAAAGTTAGTGATGGCTTAATAATGTGTTTGATAAATTTTTATACCTTTAATTAGAATAATAATACAATTGTTTTGTTTGGTAAACCTACGTCTGTTTAGTTGTCTCTGGTGGAGAACATGTTGACATTGTCATTGGAGCTGCTGTAGCTGATGGGAAGGTCACCCCTAAGGTGCAGTCACTGGTGAAAGTACTAATGAAGTATAAGCACACTGATGACTTTCGTGCAATCATCTTTGTTGAGAGAGTTGTGGCTGCATTGGTTCTTCCAAAGGTCAGTGTACTCTGTTGTTGTTGTTGTTGTCACGAGTTCTGTTTCTTGATCGTGATGATTTATGACTTGTCAATTGTCATATATGTAGGTTTTTGCTGAGCTTCCATCTTTAAGTTTTATCAAGTGTGCAAGTATGATTGGACATAATAATAGTCAGGAAATGCGGACGTCACAAATGCAAGATACAATAGCTCAATTCCGAGATGGCCGTGTATGTTTCTACCTTGCTTAGAGCTGAATATATTAGTTTGATAAAACTGAATTTAAGTGATGGTCACAGCGGTACTTGATATGAAGTCAGTCTTTTTGGAGTGAAACTAGAAGAAATTCAAATTTGTATCACATAGAAAATTACCTTGATATTCCTGTTGGCATTGTTTCTAGGTGACTTTATTAGTTGCTACTAGTGTCTCTGAGGAAGGTCTTGATATCCGGCAATGTAATGTGGTGATCCGCTTTGACCTTGCAAAAACTGTTTTGGCCTACATTCAATCTAGGGGCCGTGCAAGAAAGCCAGGATCAGATTATATCTTGATGGTTGAAAGGTACTTGCTTAATATTTGTATATATAAATACGAAAGCAGGGAATAGAGAGATACTCAACTCATTGTGTTTTTATCAGGGGAAACTTGTCTCATGAAGCATTTCTAAGGAATGCTAGAAATAGTGAAGAAACTTTGCGGAAAGAAGCAATTGAGAGGACTGATGTAAGTCATCTCAAGGGTACTTCAAGATTGATTTCCGCAGAAAATGCCCCAGGTTCAGTGTACCAGGTTGCTTCAACTGGTGCTACTGTGAGCTTGAATTCTGCTGTAGGCCTTATTCATTTTTACTGTTCGCAGCTACCCAGTGATAGGTACAGCTTTCTTTCATCTTTGATTTATGTTGATATTGATCTCCTTTTACTAGTAAAAAAATTGATGTTTGAATGCCAATATTAATATGTTGATATCATCCATGATATAGGTACTCAATACTTCATCCAGAATTTATCATGGTAAAGCATGAGAAGCCAGATGGATCCACAGATTATTCTTGTAGGCTTCAACTACCATGTAATGCCCCTTTCGAAAAGCTTGAGGGCCCAATATGCAGTTCAATTCGTCTTGCGCAACAGGTTTGTTTAGCCTTGAAGTTTACTTTTGTATTAGTTTTTTTTTTTTTTTAACTGGCTCTATATTGGTGACAGCTGAATGCCTGTATTGTATTTATTTTTTGTTACGGACTTCATATGCAGGCTGTTTGCCTGGCTGCTTGTAAGAAGCTTCACGAGATGGGGGCATTTACTGACATGCTCTTGCCTGATAAGGGAAGTGGTGAAGACGGAGAAAAGATTGAGCGAAATGATGAAGGAGATCCACTTCCAGGAACAGCCAGACACAGAGAATTCTATCCTGAAGGAATTGCCTCAATCCTTAGGGTTAGTGTTTCTAGCACAGCTCACAATTTTATTTTATTTTATTTCAATAAAAAAAAATAAAAAAAATCCCTGTTTATCCCATTTTATTACTCCTTCTGATTTTGCTTATATACTGTATCACTTGAATTATTGATAGTGTGTAAATTATAGTAAAATTCCATGGACATGCTAAGCTAACTAGCCAAAGCAGTTATGACTATAATAGTATCCCAGAAAGTTATAATTTGACAGACTGAAGTGGAGAAAACAATGATGTAGTTTGTATAAGATTTTGAACTTTCTATGTCTATGCTTCAGGGTTTTCTTTGATGCCTTTACAATAGTTACATGTCACTTTGCATTTCTCTATTTTAACCTCTATAGGTTTTGATTCTTGTTTCTGGCTGTGCAGGGGGAATGGATATTGTCTGGCAGAGATGGTTGTGATGACTCCAAATTATTTCATCTCTATATGTATGCTGTAAAATGGGAACATTTAGGGTCCGCAAAGGATCCATTCTTGACCCAAGTTTCAGATTTTTCGGTACTTTTTGGCAGTGAGCTGGATGCAGAGGTATCCCCTTGAGACTCTTTTTGGTTGCAGCATTGATTGTAGTTTCAGTTGCATTTAATAAAATTTTCTTGAATATCAGGTGTTATCGATGTCGATGGATCTCTTTATCGCTCGAACCATGAAGATTAAGGCATCTCTTGTCTTTCGGGGTTCAATAGATGTCACAGAAAGCCAGGTGCGCTTCTTTTGTTTGGATCTATAATTTCTTAATTCTTTATAATAACTTACATATATGGTCATGTGCAGCTAGCATCCCTGAAGAGTTTCCACGTGAGAATGATGAGCATCATACTTGATGTGGATGTTGAACCTTCTACAACTCCGTGGGATTCTGCAAAGGCTTATTTATTTGTCCCTATGGTTGGCGATAAATCTGTAGATCCTTTAAAAGAAATAGACTGGGATCTTGTTGATAATATAACAAGTACAGATGCGTGGAACAACCCCTTACAAAGGGCTCGGCCAGATGTTTACTTGGGAACTAATGAGCGGAGTCTGGGCGGGGATAGGAGAGAGTATGGTTTTGGGAAACTGCGTTATGGCATGGCATTTGGACAGAAATCCCATCCTACGTATGGTATCAGAGGAGCAGTTGCACAGTATGATGTAGTAAAAGCTTCTGGATTGGTTCCTGGCCGGGACTATGGTGTACAGGCCAATTTTGAACTTCCTAAAGGAAATTTGATGTTGGCTGATACTTGCATCAATGCAGAAGACTTGGTGGGGAAAATTGTGACAGCTGCTCACTCTGGAAAGAGGTTTTTTGTGGATTCTGTACGTTATGATATGACTGCAGACAATTCATTCCCTAGGAAAGAAGGTTATCTTGGTCCCTTGGAGTATAGTTCATATGCAGACTACTACAAGCAAAAGTATGGTCCATACTAAAGTCTTCACACACACCCTTCCCTCTTGTATTATGCCACACTTTAATCGCATATAAGCTCTATATCAATTTGCCTTGCCTTCTTTATCCAGTTGTTATTTTTCATTGTCTGTGATACTAATGGAGAGTTGTGATTAAATGCCACAAATGTACCTGAATTTATGCTGGGAGATGCAGAAAGCTTTACCCAATTTTGAAGGAATTCATGACTACTGTCAGGTGTTAGAGCCACCTATTACAGTAGTTTATACCTCCTATAATAAATTGGGTACCTTTTTGCTTCCCCCCAGCATAATAGAGGGTGCATTTGGTGTATTTTTTCATCTTTTGTCAATAGGTATGGAGTTGAATTGATCTATAAGAAACAACCTTTACTTAGAGGTCGTGGTGTTTCATATTGCAAGAATCTCCTTTCCCCTAGATTTGAACATTCTGAAGGTATGCTGCCTATGCTAAATACTCATTTTTCCTGTAAATTTTTGCCATGGCTTACTGGGTTTGTTGGTGCAGAATATGAGGGTGAATCTGAGGAGACCCTTGACAAAACTTATTATGTGTATCTGCCTGCTGAATTGTGTTTTGTACATCCACTTCCTGGTGAGCTAGTTCGAGGAGCCCAAAGACTTCCATCAATAATGAGAAGGGTGGAAAGCATGTTACTTGCTATTGAACTTAAAAATATCATCAACTATCCTGTACCTGCTTCCAAGGTAATCCCTTTCCTGGCCTCCTTTGCTTTGCTTTTTTATTTTCTATCTCAAAGTTATGATTAACTTGAAGTAATTATGTGTCTGTTCTTCTAACAAATTTGCCTATTCACAGATTCTGGAAGCTTTGACTGCAGCCTCTTGTCAAGAGACATTCTGTTATGAAAGAGCTGAGCTCTTGGGAGATGCTTATTTGAAATGGGTTGTTAGTAGATTTCTTTTTCTCAAATTTCCCCAAAAACACGAGGGTCAGCTCACACGAATGAGACAACAAATGGTTAGTAATATGATATTATACCACCATGCACTTGAAAAAGGGCTTCAGTCATATATCCAAGCAGATCGCTTTGCACCGTCTAGGTGGACTGCCCCTGGCGTTCTTCCAGTTTTTGACGAGGATGTCAAAGAAGAGGAATCATCTTTATTTGATCAGGAAAAGTCTCTTGCAAAGATGGGTCTTGAATTAGATGTTAATAATTTTGATGATGATGAAATGGAAGATGGTGAACTTGAAAGTGATTCAAGTTCGTACAGGGTCCTTTCTAGCAAGACATTGGCGGATGTTGTTGAATCACTCATTGGAGTTCATTATGTTGAAGGCGGAAAAGTTGCTGCTAATCACTTCATGAAATGGATTGGAATAGATATAGAGTTCAATCCTGAAGAAATTGAGTGTCCAAAGAGGCCAAGTACTGTTCCAGAAGGTGTTCTAAGAAGTGTGGATTTCGATGGATTAGAAGGTGCTCTAAAAATCCAATTTCGGGACAGGGCATTGTTAATTGAAGCAATTACTCATGCTTCACGTCCATCTTCTGGAGTCGCCTGCTACCAACGACTAGAGTTTGTAGGTGATGCAGTCTTGGATCATCTTATTACTAGGCACCTGTTTTTCAAGTATACAGATTTGCCCCCTGGACGTTTGACAGATTTGCGTGCTGCAGCTGTTAATAATGAAAATTTTGCGCGAGTTGCTGTCAAACACAAGCTTCATGTGCATTTACGACATGGGTCTACTGCCTTGGAGAAGCAGGTTTTTTTTTTCCTTCTAATTCTTTTTTTTTTTTTTGCCATACTGATCTTGATACTGTTTTGTAATGGTTGTTGACCTTTTCTCAATTCTCACCTTGTAAATCTGGATTATCTTTCGCCTACTTTTGTAGATACGGGATTTTGTGAAGGAAGTTCAAAATGAATATTCAAAACCTGGATTTAATTCATTTGGCTTAGGAGATTGCAAGGCCCCAAAAGTTCTTGGTGATATTGTTGAATCAATTGCCGGAGCCATTTTTCTTGATAGCAGGCATAATACGGCAGTTGTGTGGAGAGTAAGTTTTATTCATTACCATTTTTCTTCGTCACTTAGCTTAATTTTGTTATGTAGTTGAAGTTTTAAGGTTTTGATGTTCTATTTTGGTATTTGCCTCAGGTTTTTGAGCCTTTATTGCAACCAATGGTTACTCCTGAAACACTTCCAATGCATCCCGTGAGAGAGTTGCAAGAACGATGTCAGCAGCAGGCTGAAGGTCTGGAATACAAGGCCACTCGAGATGGGAATTTAGCCACTGTTGAAGTTTATGTCGATGGTATACAGATTGGGGTGGCTCAAAATCCACAGAAAAAGATGGCACAGAAATTGGCTGCTCGTAATGCTCTGCTTGCTTTGAAGGAGAAAGAAACTGCTGAAGCCATGGATAAAGCTGAGGAGACCGAGAAAAAGAAAAAGAACAATGCACAAACATTTACAAGACAGACATTAAATGATATCTGCTTACGTAGAAATTGGCCCATGCCACTCTACAGGTAATTTTCAGTCCCTTCATCCTCCAGCTTCCTCCCCCTCTCCACACCCCCCACTCCCCCCAAAATAAAATTAGCGGCTGAGTTTTTTTCTTTTTTCTTTCTTTTTTTTTTTTTTTCCTTTTTTTTTTCTTTTTCCATATATAGATGTGTGAACGAAGGCGGCCCTGCACATGCCAAGAAGTTTACATTTGCAGTCCGTGTTAATACCACAGATAAAGGTTGGACTGGTGAATGCATTGGAGAGCCCATGCCAAGTGTTAGGAAGGCCAAAGACTCAGCTGCAGCACTTCTGTTGGAGCTTCTGAACAAATGGTATTCATAGTAGTGTTTTCTTTATTCCCTGAGCTGCATATTGCGCGGAAGCAAGAGTTATTTGCTTTCCGGTTGCTTAAGTTCTACCTTTGATTGGGTGCTTCCATGCATGACTGTTAGCTTACCTTAGGTGAACTTTAGTTGTCAAAGTGAAGTAATATACAAAGTACTTACTAGGTTACATAAGATAGATAGTACTGGTTTCATTTGCATGAATGAGGTCAAAATTTGAACCTGCCCCTCAATTTGTTTGGGGCACACAGAGTATATACAAATTTTTGTAGTTTCACTCACTGGTATTGTGCTATTGAATATAGTAATATTATCCCTCAAGTGTATGGAGTTTTCCTTTTGTTTGTTGTTGATCTTTTTTTTTTGCTTTTGGATAAGAAAGAAAATTTGTTTAGTGATATATCTGTGGTGCATTGTACTGTATTCTTGTACATAATTAAAAGAGGTTTTTCTTTGAAAATTGAACTTAAGTAAAAATATGAAGAACTTTTAAAAACGTAATCTAGTTGAAAAAGTAGGATGTCTTAGAAACGATTCTTCTAGATTTATGTTTGCTTCAATCTTTTTCCAATTTCCAAGAGACTTGACCCAACTTGAATTCAATGTAAAGTTACGCTGTTGTGGGGTAGTCTAGAATTGCATAGTTGCAGTATACCGCCATTCTAGAAATTGCTCAGTGTTTTGGCTGAGGGCTGAGAGCTGAGAAATAATTGAGTATGTAGAATTTCAGCTAGTACTAGAATTTTGTTGAACAGATTTAATACAAAGTATAATAACATTGATGTGAATCATGAGATGGAGGCAGTGGTTGCTGCTTCCATTTCTTCCCGAGTGTTAAGGTTTTGATTCTAATTGGTTTACATTTTTGAACTTGTAAAAATACAGATAACACTGATAATGCAAAACTAACCCGAATCTGGCTCTCAACAAAGCTCATATAGCAGAATTGGTTGTGAATCCAAAATTCCTAAAGTTTTACAGAAAATAAATGTCTCAGACCTCTAGTTTGAGGGAGTATATTGTCATTCTTATAGTGAATGGGAGATATTATCAGCTCCTACTCTAAGAAGCCTTTTAACCCAATAACAGTAAACTTTTCTAAGTTGCTAAACATTGTAGAAAAACTTATAATCTCTGAAAAATGCTCAAAGAACCGGGCTTGCATATGATCTACCGCTTCAGAGTGTGCATTATATATTCACCATACAGATCCCTGCTTGCAGATGGCAAGAAAACTCATTAACAAGGAAAAGGGGGAGAGAAGATTAATATAGACCTGATCAGCTACGGGTAGAAATATTATGGCAGGGTATATATTGCTTACATTGAGTGCTGGATAGCCTCAAAGGCTGCCTCCTTTGGCAGAAAGTCGTTGACAGCAACTTCTTTGTTCTCATTCTTCTTGTCTATATTGCAGAAGTTGAGGAAACCTTAAACAGAGATAACAAACAAAAAAGAATACAGAAAATATCCCAAGGGGGTGTTTGTTTTGGTTAGTTTAAGGATACAGTCTTCAAAGAAACGGCGAATTTCTGCAAGTCTGTGAGGAGGAAGTTCCTTGATGTCTGAGTAAAACTTGTACTCAGGATCATCAGCACAAACGGCTATGATCTTGTCATCTGCTTCACCCTGCAGCATTTAGGCTAATGTTTAGGAAATTTCTGCAGTTAGAAACAGCTGAGGAATTGAGTTAAGCATAGATCAGTCTTTACCTGATCAATCATGGGCATTAATCCAATGGCCTTAATTCTCAGAAAACAGCCAGGGAGGACTGGTTCCTGTTCATATCCAATGTCAACATCAGTAGAGAACTATTGACCCATGTTAATATAATTCTTATATTTCATTACTTCTACAATTTTTGTAGATTAGTCTTTTTAGAATTCAGATTCACATATTTAGTATTGTGTTTTACAAAATTGCATGAACAATATTCATGTCTTTTTAGGCAAACTGAACTACCTGCATGAGGACCAAGACGTCAATAGGATCATTGTCATCACACAATGTGCGAGGGATGAAACCATAGTTGTGAGGATACACAACGGATGAATATAGGATACGATCAACCTGTAAAAAATTTCAGCAAGAAAATATTTATAGTTCAAATGGTACAGAGAAAACTGAAACATCTACATCATGTATTATAGCAGTAACGTAATTGGAATAATTGTATTACCTTTATCATTCCTGTCTTCTTGTCAAGTTCATATTTGACCTTACTTCCTTTTGAGATCTCAATAACCTGTGTATCATATATAAAACCAGGAAACAAATGTCAGATCTTTTTAAACTCTGAATGCTGACTTAAAATCTAAACTTCTAAAGCTGTGACTTTTTGGTAAAATAATGAAGTGTAAATCTTTTTCTGCCCCTTCAGAGACTCACAACCATCTGAAATTTGCAAGGGCATAAAGCTTACACAGTTGGCGATTTGTGGTGCTTCAGGTCCTGCAACCAGAAATTTGCAGCAGCTAATTAGTTCAACTTAACACTGATTAGCTGTTACTAGATAAGTTGCATCTTTTTTAACAGTGATAGTATTTGCACATATAATAGTATAATACCAATGTCAAGATCATGCCATGGATGTGCCGCGACTGATCTCCTGGATAACGTGGAAAGGATTCGTTCATTCAATTTGGCAAGTCGTCGTGGTGATGGGAACACCATCTCTTCATTTTCCAATATTGTCTCTTCAGCCATCTCTGATAAACATTTAGAATGATGTTAGGACAGGTAGTAATCTTTTCATTTGTACATTATGATATAGATATATGTTTCTTGACAGTAGTCTTTCATATGATATTCTAAGCAATTCTTGATTCCTGTATGAAAATACAATTTAACTTGAAATATATAGAAATAAGGTTGGCCGTAGGCATGTAGGCAGGCTCAGTGGGGCTGGCCTGGATCGCGTTTTACACAGATTATCACAGACACGACAGGAGCCACATAACATCAATAACATAACACTAAAGAAAGGCATCACATTGGTGTTCCATTAGCCTAACCCCCTAAGATGGATGACACGACACGAGTCACACGATTGTTGTGATCGTGCTCTAAAGGCCGGGCACAGCCGTGCCTAGCTATCATCTACTCTAGCAATAAAAACATGCATGAAATCATCTAAATGAAACGCAACGATTACCTGCAATCTTAACAAATTGTATAGGAGAGAATGCTAGGAGGAGGATAAATGATGTTAGAACAGAGATTTTAAGGAGAAAAAGAAAGAGGGAAAGAATGAAGGGTAGTTAAATTGCTTGGAAAAGTTGACTCATATGTGGAATGACAAGAGAAATTATAGGATGCAGAAATAAGGTGGCACCTCTCATCTTCTTAAATATGACTTTGTCAAATCAATCATTTTGGCAGCTAACTTGGCATATGCTAAGTTTATTAACAGAATTATTATTATTATTATTATTATTATTATTATTATTATTATTATTATTATTATTATTATTATTATTATTATTATTATTATTATTATTATTATTATTATTATTATTATTATTATTATTATTATTATTATTGCAATTTTTAGTCTTCTGTTAATGGGTTTCCACTCTCCATCCATGCTCTGCATTACAAATTTTTCTTATTTTCTTTTCCTTCCAAGACATCCAATATACGGAGTATGTAATAATATAATATTAACATACTCTCTATCATTGCAAAAAAATATTCCGTAAAGATTTAAACTTTATACGCAATATGTAATAATATTAAGGAAAATTTGCCAATTACTACCGCAAGTTAATACTACTTTGTAAATTACTACCGCAAATTAAAAAAGTTGTGAATTACTACCGCAAAAAATTTTAAGATGTTGAGATTACTACCAAACCCCCATTAAACCCAACTATGACGTCATTATATCACTTTAACCCATGGTTAAAGCCCTTAACCATGATGTCATTATATCCCTAAACCATTTTCTTTCTAGGGGGGGGGGGGGGGCTGGTTAAAGCCCTTAACCATAATCAAACACGGGTTAAAGGGACATAATGACGTCATAGTTGGGTTTAATGGGGGTTTGGTAGTAATCGCAACATCTTAAAAAAAATTGCGGTAGTAATTCACAACTTTTTTAATTTGCGGTAGTAATTTACAAAGTGGTATTAACTTGCGGTAGTAATTGACAAATTATCCTAATATTAATATTAGACCCAACTTTGTATTTACACAACTTTGTACTCTGTAACATTAATAAAGTCGACTACATAAAAAAAAAAAAAAAAAAAAAAAAAACTTTTTTCTAATTGTTTTACATATCAAAAACTAGATTCTTATTTTGTTTATTTTTTTTAAATGAACACTTGTATTTGAAGGCCTAAATAATAAGGAATACAATTAGAGCTGTCAATTCAGCTAAACGGGTCGGGTTTGGGTCGGTTAAGAGCGGATCGGGTCAATTCAGATTAATTCCACAACCTATACGAGTCAGGTTTGGATTGGGTCATGCTTGAGTCGGGTCACATCGGGTCATACTTCTTATACGGTTTGGGTCGGGTTACATTCGGGTCGGGTGAACAATAGGTTGGGTTTAATTCGGGATTTCAAGGGTTTAATTATCTCCTTTGACCATACAACAAATATAAACTATATTTAACTCTTAAATTTGAGGATGATGTTCCTTTCTTTTGTTGGCCTGGACCAACTTGGTCTCCCAAGACAAAATGTTTTGATCAACAATAATAAGGTGGTCTAAATTGCATTTACGGTGATTTGAAATCGGGTTGGGAAAATTTGGTTTGAATTTAGGTTGGGTAAATAACAAGTCGTTAATTTTGAGGTCTAGTAACAGATAGGGTTGAATTTTTGGGTTGGTAAGTAATATGTATGGTAAAATTCGGGTGGGGTTAGGAACAGGTCGAATTGAATTCAGGACAGGTTCGTAACAAGTCGAGTTAAATTCTAGTTTTGACGGATTAAAACGGATTTCGGTAAATTTGAGTTCAAGTCGGGTTCGGTGCAAGTTAATTAAATTGGCCGATGTAAACCGATAAATCGGTGCAAGTTGTAAACCGGTAAATTGGCCATTTAAAAGCAAATTGAATGGTTCAACACACCCAATTGAACTCCCAAAGTGTATTAGGGATCATGGTAAATATTTCGCCAATTTTTATTTCAGGGCGAAAAAAAGTCAAAAATTCCAAAATTGAAGGTTAATATCCACGGTTTTTGAGAAATTTTGGAGGTTTCGGGGCCCGGTGTCGAAAAGTCTTGAAATTCTATAGGATAAATCTCGGGGCCATATAATGTCATTTGAAACCATATATGATCATTATTTGTTGTCATAAATGTTCGTGGTAGGATTGAATTAATGAAATCGGTGGAAGTTGTAAATCGGTAATTTGGTCACTTTAAGTCAAATTGGATGGTTCCACCCATCCAATTGGACTGCCGGTGGGTATTAGGGATCATAGTAAACATTTCGGCAATTTTTATTTTCGGGCGAAATAAAATCAAAAAATTTCAAAATTGAAGGCTAATATCCACACTTTTTGAGAAATTTTGGTGGTTTCGGGGCCCGGCGTAGAAAAGTATTAATATTTTAGGAAATACATCTCGAGGTCATATTATGCCGTTTGGAACCATACCATAAATGATCATTATATGTTGTCATAAACACGCTTTTTGAGAAATTTTGGTGGTTTCGAGGCCCGGCATAGAAAAGTATTAATATTTTAGGAAATACATCTCGGGGTCATATTATGTCGTTTGGAACCATAAATGATCATTATATGTTGTCATAAATGTTCGTAGTAGGCTTGAAATGAAGAAATCCGTGCAAGTAGTAAACCGGTAATTAATTTGGCCGTTTAAAGGCAAATTGAATGGTTCCACACACCCGATTGGACTCCCGGAGGATATTAGGGACCATGAAAAACATTTCGGCAATTTTTATTTCCGGCCGAAAAAAAAGTCAAAAATTCCAAAATTTAAGACTAATATCCACGCTTTTTGAGAAATTTTGGAAGTTTTGGGGTCCGGTGTCGAAAAGACTTGAAACTTTAGGGAATACATCTCGGGGTCATATAATGCTATTTGGAAACATATATGATCATTATTTGTTGTCATAAATGTTCGTGGTAGGCTTGAGTTAATGAAATCAGTGCAAGTTGTAAAACGGTAAATTAGTCGTTTAATTTAAAGGCAAATTGGATGGTTCCACCCTCCCAATGGGACTCCCGGACGATATTAGGGACCATGGTAAACGTATCGGCAATTTTTATTTCCGGGCGAAAAAAAAAGTCAAAAATTTCTAAATGAAGTCTAATATCCACGATTTTTGAGAAATTTTGGAGGATTCGGGGCCCGGTGTCGAAAAGCCTTGAAATTCTAGGGGATACATCTCGGGGTCATATAATGTCGTTTGGAACCATATATAAACATTATTTGTTGTTATAAATGTTCGTGGTAGGCTTGAGTTAATAAAATCGATGCAAGTTGTTAACCGGTAAATTGGTCATTTAAAAGCAAATTGAATGGTTCAACACACCCAATTAGACTTCCAGAGGATATTAGGGACCATGGTAAACATTTTGGAAATTTTTATTTCCGAACAAAAAAAGTCAAAAAATTCCAAAATTAAAGACTAATATCCACACATTTTGCGAAATTTTGAAGGTTTCGGGACTCGATGTCGAAAAGTCTTGAAATTCCAGGGAATACATCTTGGTATCATATAATTCCATTTGGAACCATATATAATTATTATATGTTGTCATAAATGTTCGTTGTAGGCTTGAGTTAATGAAATCGGTGCAAGTTGTAATTCGGTAAATTTGTCGTTTAAAAGCAAATTGGATGGTTCCACCTACCCAATTAGACTCCGGGTCAGTATTATGGACCATTGTAAACATTTCTGCAATTTATATTTTTGGGTGAAAAAAAGTCAAAAATATTCAAAAATTGAAAGCATATATCCACACTTTTTGTGAAATTTGGAGTATTTGGGGCCCGGTGTCTAAAAGTCTTGAAATTCAATGGAATACATCTTGGGGTCATATCATGTCATTTGAAACCATATGTGATCATTATTTGTTGTCATAAATGTTCGTGGTAGGCTTGATTTGATGAAATCGGTGCAAGTTGTAAACCGATAAATTGGCCGTTTAAAGGCAAATTGGATGGTTCCACCACCCAATTGGACTCCCGGAGGATATTTGGGACCATGGTAAACATTTAGGCTATTTTAAATTCCGCGCGAAAAAAAGTCAAAAAAATCCAAAATTGAAGACTAATATCCACGCTTTTTGAGAAATTTCGAGTGTTTCAGAGCCCGGTGTCGAATAGCATTAAGATTTTAGGGGATACATCTCGGGTCATATAATGCTGTTTGGAATCATATATGATCATTATTTGTTGTCATAAATGTTCGTGGTAGGCTTGAGTTAAGGAAATCGGTGCAAGTTGTAAACCAATAAATTGGTCGTTTAAAGGCAAATTGGATGGTTTCACCCACCCAATGAGACTACCGTACGGTGTTAGGGACCATGGTAAACATTTCGGCAATTTTTATTTTCGGACGAAAAAAAAAGTCAAAAATTTCTAATTTGATGGTTCCACCCAGCCAATTGGACTCCCAGAGGGTATTAGGGACCATGGTAAACATTTTGACAATTTTTATTTCCGAGCGATAAAAGTCAAAAAATTCCAAAATTAAAGACTAATATATCCACGCATTTTGCGAAATTTTGAAGGTTTCGGGACTCAGTGTCGAAAAGTCTTGAAATTCCAGGAAATACATTTTGGTATCATATAATGCCGTTTGGAACCATATATGATTATTATATGTTATCATAAATGTCTGTGATTGGCTTGAGTTAATGAAATCGATGCAAGTTATAAATCGATAAATTTGTTTTATAAAGGCAAATTGGATGGTTCCACCCACCCAATGGGACTCCCGGAGGGTATTAGGTACCATGATAAATATTTCGTCAATTTTTATTTCCAGGTGAAAAAAGTAAAAAATTTCCAAAATTGAAGGCTAATTAATATCCACGCTTTTTGAGAACTTTTAGAGGTTTCGGTGCCCGTTGTCGAAAAAACTTAAGATTTTAGGGGATACATCTCGAGGTTATATAATGTCGTTTGGGACCATATATGATCATTACATATTGTCATAAATGTTCGTGGTAGGTTTGAATTAATGAAATCGGTACAAGTTGTAAATCGGTAAATTCGTCGTTTAAAGGCAAATTGGATGGTTCCACCTACCCAATTGGACTTCGAGAGGGTATTATGGACCATTGTAAACATTTTTGCAATTTTTATTTTCGGGCGAAAAAAGCCAAAAAATTCAAAAATTGAAGGCGTATATCCACGCTTTTTGAGAAATTTGGAGTATTCGGGGCCCGGTGTCTAAAAGTCTTGAAACTCTATGGAATACATCTCTGGGTCATATAATGTCTTTTGGAACCATATATGATCATTTTTTGTTGTCATAAATGTTCGTGGTAGGCTTGAATTAATGAAATCGATGCAAGTTGTAAACTGATAAATTGGCCGTTTAAAGGCAAATTGGATGGTTTCACCCGCCCAATTGGACTCACAGAGGGTATTTGGGACTGTGGTAAATATTTCGGCAATTTTTATTTCCGGACGAAAAAAAATCAAAAAATTTCAAAATTGAAGGCTATCCACGCTTTTTGAGAAATTTCAAAGGTTTCAGGGCCCGGTGTCGAAAAGCATTGAGATTTTAGGGGATACATCTCGGGGTCATATAATGCCGTTTGGATCCATATATGATTATTATATGTTGTCATAAATATTCGTGGTAAGCTTGAGTTAATTAAATCAGTGCAAGTTGTAAACTGGTAAATTGGTCGTTGAAAGGGCAAATTAGATTGTTCTACTCAGCCAATTGGTCTCCAGGAGGGTAATAGGGATCATGGTAAATATTTCAGCAATTTTCATTTCCAGGTTAAAAAAGGAAAAAAAAAATCCAAAATTAAAGGCTAATATGCACGCTTTTTGAGAGATTTTGGAGGTTTCGGCCATACAATTATTTAGGCGAGTAGAATATCACGTGCCCAATTATTTAAAAATACAACTTTTGATAAAATAAATTTGACAACTCTATAATAAGCTTGGGTGATTTGAATTACATTAACATTAATTAATTTTAGTTGTTGATTCCTCCCCCCCCCCCCCCCCCAAAAAAAAAAAAAAAAAAAAACCCAATGCTTCTATGCCCAAGATCCAAACTTTGTTGTGGTCCAAACTTCAGCCAGTAAACTGTATAATCCAAATTCTCAACTTTGATTTGTGACATTATAATAAACATACTAGATCTGTTTTCTTTAGTTGGAGTGAAATGTTAGAAAAGTGCCAAATTTTGTCTTTATTAGATTTACAATTTGAGACTTTTGAGTATAGGAGATCATTTAGGGCAAAAGTTTACAACCTTTATCATATTCTTTTAAAACATAAAAGAAACTTAATTTAATTTAAGTTTTGCATTGGAGGTATAAACTACGAGTATCAAGTAGAGGAGATCAAATATGGACCGGCTCAATTTACGCGCCATGATCTTTGGCCCTATTTACTACCTCTATTCAAGCCACTTTGGGGGGTGGTCTGTCCCAAGTTCATCATTTAGATCAATTTGTATTGACCATTCAGCTTGATGCGCTCAGCCATGTAACCGAGCTTTTTGCCACATGATGTGACCCTAACTAGTCCAATGTCAAGCCATAATAGCTGGCTCTTTCAACTCCGGCCTGTCTCCTGATCAGCTTTAGTCACAGCCTCACGGCCCTCACAGAGTCACAGGTACAACTCCAGTATAGGTAATTTGTATGGTCCTAACCAAACAAATGCACCGTTTATAGTCCATACATTCTATTATTCTAAAACAACATAGATGAGACCGTCTCAGAAATACTAAGGTTGTCAATGCACCATATATACATAATATCTGAAGATGTGTTACATTGCCATTACTAAATACATATACATATATAATGCTCGTTCAATAACAAAATCAAAGCAAACACTAAGCACACACAAGAAATGAAGAAATAATACACCAATTTTTTTGATGAACAATCACTCAATCAGAGTTGATCTTTAGGTTATTATAATGTGTAGCAAGAAGACTTAGATTTAAGGGACATAAATTGAATCTGGAGATATGGAAATCATCTGGAGAAGACTAGAATTTGAGAAGGTCTCCTCTATTGCTGGCCCTCTCCGACTACCACCATCGATGCTATCTCTCGTGATATGCACTAGTTCTCGCGCAACATCCACCATCCTTAGTTTTCCATCACCTCCAAACAGCAGACACCTTGTGGCAATGTCAGCAACTCTGTCAATCTGATCCCTCCTAAAAGGCGGTTGTTCATGGTAGTAAAGAAGAGGGTCAATTATCTCCTCTATTTTACCATCCCTAGTCTTGTACAAGGCTATTGTAGGCATATCTGGGTGCTTAGAGCCTGAGACTACCTCCAACAGAAACACCCCTAAATCATAAACCTCGCTATTATACAGCTCTAAGCTACAGAACATCCCGAAACAGGCTACTTTGACATTAAAATCTTGGTCTAGGAAAATGCTACTAGTCTTGAGATTTTGATGTGAAACAGGAGGAGAAACTTCATGTTGCAAAAAAGCGAGTAAACTAGCTGTTTGAGCAGCAATGCTTAACCTCTTGTACCAATCAAGGCCAATTTTATCAGGTTGTTCTTTGTGCAAATGATCTTCAAGAGTTCGATTTTCAGGGAATTCGTACACCACCATAGGAGTGTAACCTGAGTCAATACAGCAACCAAATATATGAGCCAGATTCCGGTGCATAATAGTGGACAAGAGCTCAACCCGGGTCAATACTTGCATCAGGTCCTTCTCGTTCTCACATTTGACCCTTTGGACTGCAATGTGAGAACCATCCTTGAGTTTACCGGTGAAGACACTGCCACCACAACTGTCCATTACTTTCTGGCCTTCGTTGAATCCATCCGTGGCTTCGTCTAGTTCATTTAAGGTGAAAAGCCGGGTGTTACAAGATTTTCGGAATGATAATGTGCTGCGAAATTGGGGCTTGTGGGGAGACCCATACGCGGTAGATTTCACTGACCTTTTTATCAGACAAAGAAGAGCAAGGAAAGAGGCAGCGGCAAAAGCTGATGTAAGAACGCCTGCAGATTATGAAAGACAAATGTATTAGTTTCTCAATATGTCAAAGGCTCAAAGCAGATAGTGTTAGTTTTTGAAGTAACACTTTCACTAAACTCTAATGGAGTAACTACCAGCTAATATTATCATCTTTTTTTTGTTGTGCCTCCCTGGTTCACAATCTTTGCCAAATTCTTCCTTTCCATCCTTGAAACACGCTGCGAAAACCAAATTCAACTTCAATACATAAATTACACCATCCCTTCAAGGAAGAGCAAATCTTCAAAGGCCAAGTATGATTTAGAAAAACAATGAAACAGAAAAAATCATGTACTTTTTTACACCAAAATTTTCTTTCAGACATTCATTTCAGCAACAGATTCCTGCAATTCTAATCCAACCTTATTATTCTATACATACAATGCTTAAACCTTCTCCTTGATCATTGTCACAAAATTTGAAAGTTGCATCAAATATAGGCATAACCAATAACCCCACTAAACAAAAATTAATGTCCCCCACTCCCCCCCCCCCCCCCCCCCCGGAGAGGATCCTGATCCCTACTAACCATCCCTATCTCGAACACACAGGAAATGAAAATGAAACAAATACATACAAAGTTCAAAGTAATAAATAGAAAACAGTAGCAAGAAAAAACAAACCACAAGTATACAATGAACAATCATATAAGCTAAGCAATCAACTCACATTTCAAGCAACCAGTTCCATTGACATATCCATCCCCAACAAACCCATCACCACATAAACACCTTACTCCATGCTTCACAGTAGTAGCATTCACAATATACCCATTAACATCACAAGCTTCTTTAGACAAGTTCAAAGGAATAGCCCATTCTAATTTCACCCCTCTTTTTCCAGAATTCATTCCTCTTGGAACAACCCAAGAAGAAAAACCTCTGCATTCAAACTTAGCAAACACATTAAATTCATCTCCAATATGCCATACACTATGATCAGACAATGGATAACAACAAACTGGCCCACTTCCATTCCCATTTTTGTCACAATCAGGTAAATCATTAGACTCACAATTAGCCTTACACAAAGAAGAGTCTTCACAATCATATAATCCAATTACATTATCATTTGATATTCCAAAATAATCATTTCCGCCAAACCCAAATGAGTTTAAATCATTGTAAGGCCGACACGTGTTAGAAAACCCTGGAAAATCAACTAAAACCCCATCAGAAAAGAATTCCAAAACCCTATAATTTTGGGAATCAATGTTTAGGAAAAGGGAAGTTGAATTAAGACAAGTTAATTGGAATGATTCTAATAATGGGGGGTTAGAAAACCCACAAGATGCATTGTTTATGTAAAATGGGAATGATACTCGAAATTTCCCACAAGATTCATTGCAAAGTTGATGATCAAAGATTCCAACTTTATGATTCAATTCTGATTTTTTGATAAAATTGGAAATGGGTTTTGCACCCAATTGACTAAAAGTAAGAAAGAAAGTGAAAAACAGAGTACAATGATAAATTAAAGAGGGCATTTCTTAAATTCAGCCAAACTTCCAAAGAGGAGGAAGAAGAATAAATTGGAAGAGAGAGAGAGAATTTGAGAGTTTGATTCGCAAAATAATGAGTGAAATTGTAGAGAGTAAGAACAAGTGTTGAGAAGAAAGAGGGCATGCCATAGAGATTGATGTTTAGGAGAGGAGAGAGAAAATTGCATTGGAGTAAAACTAAAATCCTTTGAAATTAGGGAAGTGAAGACGGTTGGTCTCAGTTTCAGGCTACAAATACTATCTGGGTTTGTGCCTTAAGCCCCCTCGTTGGGTGTATTTTTTTTGGAGCTTCATAGTTCATACTACGTACTTACGGACTACTTAAATTTTTAAACTTTCGCTTAAGGTATAAGGAATGTATGATCTATGAAGCATGATCATCAAATAATCAAATGGACAATGATGCATTGATAATTTGATTATATGATCTCGAGGGCGAGAAGACTGTCATGCTATAATTAACCAATGTTATGTTACAGCATTTTTAGTGGTATATGTACACGACCTACTTGTAAATTGTTTAAATTATCTAGCAAGTGGTCTATTATTGAAATGAGATATTTAGTCTAAGCTACCACAAGGATTGATTTGATTAATTAACAATATGTAAATTTAATAAAAATATATTATACAAATTACAAGGTAATACAATTAACTATTTAATGGAGTAACTTAAAATAATATAAATGGTTCATGTGTCTAACGTGAATCCTTGTTGTACTATTTACCAATAGAGTTGCTCTTACAAGATTGTTACATGCAATTTAGCAATCCTCATAATTAACCAAACATATATCATATTCTAAGTTGGATTATGTAATTAAGATTAATTATAGTTCATGGTTCCATCTTAGGTAAGAATTTGTAGTAAAAATATGCAATAGATGTAGTTGTGCAATATGTATGTTTGCATGGATCTAAGAGATTGGATGTGTTTATTACCACTTGTGAATTGAAAATCTTGGAATGATAGAATGAATGTAAGATAATGGTGGGAAAAGTTGAGGTTTTAGATTGAGTATGTGACTATGACAAAATATAATTAAGCTTCATTTGCAATCCACTCCTCCACTTTTTTTCCAACAAATAATGTTGTTTGTAGTTTTGTACCTTTCTACTTCGTATAGTTTATTAGAGCAAGACTTCAATTGGCTTTGATTGGCACACAAATTAGTGAGGGGAAAGCAACTAACAAGTCATTAATTATAATTTTTTTTTTGAAAGAGTAATTATAAATTTGATTAATAATTAGAGGATTGATTATATTACTAACCCACCCAATAATAATTCATCAAGAGAAGTTTACGGAAATTTTTTCTAATTATAAAAAAATTGAGGATTGATTATAATAATATTATTAAAACTCATAGGAACAACATGTTATCGTCATGTGTCACCGTTCCTACCATATGACTTGGCAACACATGAGCAATATGTATCACATTATGTGTCATAATTTATTACTCCAAAACTCTTGATATGTGTAACCTTTGTACTTAGTGTTCCCATATAATTTAACTTCTAAATAATTGCACATTAAGACATTAATGAATATAAACTAGCACCCGTTAATCTTAAATTTATTATTATAATTTTATTCACTTTTAAATATTGTCGAACACTGACCTTTTAGATTCAATTTTAATCAAACATTGAGGCATCGCTCAGGCCAATAACTAGTTGTTATCTAAAACTTGTGCTTCCTTTCACATGCACAACATAAAATTTATTACTAATAGTATGAATGTATGATGCGCAAACCAGAGTATTGGAAATGTTTATTACCACAACGTCCCACAGGCCTCGAAATGAGATTTATATGATCTTTGTATGTTCATTTTAATGGGAACTAATTTAGTCACTTAATTACTATTACTAGTTAAACAAACGACTAAAACTCTTATTAATGTTATAAAAAAAACACACATTTAAGCACTGCAGATGTTGAAGAACGGAGGAAGTAGTAAGTCAAATATAACGCGATAAAGTTGTACAGTATTATTGAAATTTGCGCCTAAGAGAACTAAGATATGATATCCATGCCAGTCTCCTAGGTCACATCTTAAATACTTTGTCCATTTGTTCCAAAATAACTGACAAATTTGACTTTTTCAATATTCGTATATTGCACTACATTAGACCCTAACATATAAAAAATACTCTAAATTATGATTGTCAATTTTGATTGTACGTGTATTGACACATGAGACTTTTTTCATATTCGTATATAGTACTAGCTTCATACTACATATATACTCTATCACGCTCTTTCACGTGAAGGAGGGGCCGGTGAACGAGCTGAGATTTGAATTCGTAACCTCTTTTTCATGCTAGCTCTTAATTTTGATAATATACGTAGTATTAAAATACCAAATCAATCATACGCTTAAATTGATGGGTGAAGCTAAAATTTTATTTATACACTCTTATGAGTCTTATCACTTTATATAATTGTGACATACGAATTATTTACGAACTCTCCTTATAAAAGCTAGTATAACTCATGTCTCGCAAATGATTACGGATTTATGATAACATACAATTTGCGCTAACTCTATATACGAGTTGAAATTGGAAGTATTACAAGATTATCAGATTAATAGATTATGTATACGTTGTTCATTTTTCAATTTAGAAATAACGCAGTAACGCGTAGTAATAGTTAAAAAAATTAGAGTACATGACATGAGTTTAAAAAACAAGTAATATCTTAAAAAAAAAAAATAGGGGTGAAGGTTTGACATTGGTTGACCCCAAATTTACCAAATTTGGCTTGGGCAGCAAGGCATTCTCTCTCCTCAAACATATGCTGTCCCAAGGCACAAATATCTATGAGAATTAACAGAGTTATTAGTAGGCCCCATTTAAGACTCACTCACAGGTTTGGATTCAGGTTCGGTTAAATTTTTTTTTAAAAATAAAATATTAAATGAAAAATCAAAATGTAAAATGCAAATTCAAATTTTGTGTCACTAATTTTTATTTCTACAGTAGTCCAATTCATTTTGATGTTATTGTTTGTACTTTTTTTTTGTTAACAATATATATTAATTGGTCTTACACAATTTTTTATATGTGGTTGGGGTTACTAGAGTTACTCGGTCAGGGATTACTTAATGGGCTTGGTCAGGGTTACTCACGGTCTATTCACATTTACGGAATTGAACTGATTGGAGATGAACTGAACTGAATAAAGCTAAAATGAATATTTTATGATAATAGGAAATTAGGAGTTGCACTGATTGGAGCTGAACTTAAATTAAGCTGAAGTGAACAGATCCTCAATTAGTGGTTATTTGAAGGGTTCGGTCAGAGAGTACTCAAGTGTAAGCTGACCATACAGTGTGTCCGGGGTTACTCGAGTTATTTGACCATATATTACTTGAGAGGTTCGATCAGGAGTTACTTGGTCTAGGGTTACTTGAGAGGTTTAATCAGGGGTTACTTGAGAGGTGCAATTACTCAATCAGAGGTTACTTGAAGGGTTCAGTCAAAGATTACTCGAGGGGTTATTTGAAGGGTCCAATCAGGGGTTACTCGGGCAGGGTTTACTTGAGAGATTACTCGGTCAAAGAATACTCGAGTGTTAGCTAGCCACACGATATGACCAGCCACATAGAAAAAGCTACACTGTTCTTAAACCAGAGAATTCTCAACCCTTCAATGTAATATAAAATTTCTTGTGTTAATAAAATGTCACTTAGGGCCTGTTCTTATACATTTTTTTTTCAATTCAACTCAGTTCAGTTCAGTTCAGCTGAGTTCAGTCCATGAACCCTTAATGTTTGACAATAAGAACATCACTGTTCATAAATATACAAATTATTCATCAATCTTTTCCTCATATCTCAATATCAACTACCTCATGTCATCTTTATGAACCATTTATTCATTTTTTTTTCCGCTTTAAACTTATAAGTTAACTATATGGAGTAAGAGAACATGTGATAATATAAGGAGTGAAACTTTAATCAAAGAATTGTAAGGAATACTACTCATAAACAATTACACTATTAGTTCTTGCTTGTATATTATTGTTTCGGATGAAAACAATCGAATCTCGGAAGATCCTTTTATCTTGAGGGAACTTGGTCTCGGTCCGAACAACGCAGGAGCCGAGGGTTTCCTGCACAACAAATACACGTAAACTAGCCTCGGGGGGGACGCCGAGGAAGGCCCCTCCGATGCTTAAGTCAGTATATTAGAGAGAGAAAGCTGTGCAAGAGTTTAGTTGCTTGAGGCTTTATTGTCTTACCAAGAATTGACCAAATTGTTGGCTTTTATACCTTGGCTAATGAAGGAGGCGGATTGGGCCCGGAAGTCAGTTGGGCTGGGCCAAGCTGATTGGGCCGTTGACTGACCTTGACATGGCTTTGAGGATGTTGATTTTTGACTTTAGCACATTTGGAGAGTTGAACCTTAGCCTTGGGCTTTTAATTGGATCATTCAGTGACCAGGCCCAATTGGACTAAATTGGACCCAAACAACTTGCCCCCCAGACCCGATTTGGAAGGATGACGGGTCGGGTTTGATTTAATCAGAAAAGGAGGGAAGTGAATGATTTGTTAATCCAAAAATGTGAATTTAAACCGTAATTAACCCATGATTAATGAGATAACAACAGTTAATGTGGATAATTGCGGAAGTTGGACGGGTAGTGGGCGATTTAACTGCAAGGTCGTGTGTTTAACGGTTACTTAGTGGGGTGCTTGAGAGAAATTGAAACGCAGACTCCTTGAATTCCCATTTCTGGAGATATAAATAGAGGCGCGTCTTCTCTCCCCACTCATTCATCAACACAAACCCAGAATTCTCAAGAACGCTCAAGAGCCCGCATCAAAACTTCGCAAATTCCCCGAGCATTAAGCTTAGAAGCTGAGACTTGTCACTACCAATTCGTAAATCGGCGGCTTTTGCTTCAGATCAAGGTAAATTCCTTTGATTTTATTTCATCTTTCTTCGACTTTGCACTCTTTCCCCTTTTTCGACTTTTTCCTTCGAAATTCGTCAATGGTGAGGGGAGTTAGAGGTGGAGCCCGTGCTCCAAGGAGAGCAAGGCTAATCCCCGATCCCAGGGACAGGATTGGGACCTGGAATGGACGAAGGACAGAGTCTGACCCTGCTGAAGGGGTTAGGGCGACTCCCATTTCTTCGGCTCCTCCTCAGAGAACGGATGAGCCGAGTGCTTCTGGACGGGACGATGAAATTCCCGCTGTCCTTTGGGATATCCTCCCTGGGTTTTCAGAGTGGGAGAATGCCGAAGTCGCTTCGGCCATGATAAAGAACCGCCCCTACTCATGGTGGGTAGAGAACGCCGATCAATATCGATTTGCCGAGCAAATTGAGTTGCACTACGGCAT